AATTTTTAACTCCCCAGCCTTGAAAAACACCTCTTTGAAGTCTAATATACTGTTTCCTAAAATATGGTTTAGATAGCACTGATGAAGATCATCTTAAGTGGTATAAGGATAAACATTTTCTTTTTTTTTTTTTTTTTTATTTATTTGAGACAGAGAGAATGAGAGAGACAGAGAGCACATGAGAGGGGGGAGGGTCAGAGGGAGAAGCAGACCCCCTGCCGAGCAGGGAGCCCGATGCGGGACTCGATCCCGGGACTCCAGGATCATGACCTGGGCCAAAGGCAGTTGCTTAACCAACTGAGCCACCCAGGCGCCCTAAACATTTTCTTTTTAATAGTTATGTATTTTTAGAGTTACCTTCTATTTATGACTCATGAAACTTTTTCCACCATAGCACTACAATTTATACTGGCAATTTAAAATTTATTGATCATAAAGAGCTTTTCAAGTTTATTGATTTAACATTTACTTTTTAAGTAGATGAATTTAAGGAACAATGTAAAGTAAATAATGACAGGAGAGAGACGCATTTAGGGCAAAATCACAATGGTCAGTGACGTTCGGAAACACTGGTCTAATGGAGAAACGAAATGAAAAAGACCTTTCATTGATAAACACGGCGATTTTGAGAATATTCTGTGGGGAAGGTGTTCTGGATGTTGGGCAATTGGATGGGTGATGGGATAGTTATTTAAGGAACATTTCCCTAAGTTGGTAAAGACAAAGAGGAAAGGCATGTCATTGGGAGTCTTTGCGGAAGTCAGTGATCCATCCCACTGCCATTCTTATCTTAGGATAAGAGTGTTGTGATGAGAAGGAAAATCTCCACCATCTCCTCATTCCCAGAGTCCTTTCCTTTCTGTAAGACCAAGCTTCTCCATCTGCTAAAAGGGTCCCCACAAGCGGCCACTCTGGAGTCAAGGAGACTCTCAGTCAGCTGGCGTTGCTGTCTCGGACAACACTGTGCTCGCCAAGGTCACAGGAGCACAAAACTGAAGCCATCATCCAGCCACCGCAGCTTACTGCACAGCTAAAGATAGTGCCAATAGACATGAAGCCATTTGTACTAAATTTAAGATAGAATTTAATTAAGTGTGAAGTCCAGGTAGGATGTGACCAAAATTTCTTTCGCTCATTCATTTATTCATTATGCGTTCATGCCTTCATCCAGCCACTCAACTGAGTAGCAGGGGCTTGGTCTGTTTTGTTCCCCGTTGCATCACCAGTGCACTTCATTACTGGGAATGAAGTGAAGGGGACCTCCAGCAGCTCACAGTTTAGTGTCAAAGACGGAGGAGTGAACAGTCAGCAGCATCACAGAGTGGTTGTGCCATCACTAAGGTGAGCACAAGTGAAATGGGGACATTTAGTCTGGCCAGGGAGGCTTGACAAAAGAGGTGACGCCTGATTTGGGCCCTAAACTGCCAATGAAGGAGGCATGACTTTCCAGGCAGAGGAGGCAGTATGTGCTAAGGCAGAAGGACATGAGAAAGCCTGGTGCATTAGTGGCCACCAAGTAGCTCATTATAACTGGGGCATATGGAGTGAAGGAAGGAGGGGCAGCCAATGAGGCTTGAAAACCAGGGAGAGACCAAATCCCAGAGGACCATGTGAGCCATACCAACGAGCTCAGAGATGACCTGAGAGGAGACCCATAGAAGGGATCTGAACAGTGGCTCATCATGACCGGATTTCAGCTTAAAGGGAGATTTGTACTGGTAGAGAGGAGAGGCGGGGCAAATGAGCAAGAAGCCATGGGAGCAAACGGGCTGGCTAGATGGCAGGGCAGGGTGTGTACTGGGAGCCAAGGTTAGAAAGGAAGGCAAGATCAGATTACTAAGGGGCCAGAGGAGGACACTTATGGCTCTGAGTAAATGGTGACCCAATATGTTTAAGAATGGCCCCTCTGGGGGCAATACTGTAGGTCATTTGGAGGAAAACAATCTTATAGCTCAGGGTCTGCCTGGGATGGTGGCCATGAGCAGACTTCAGAGATGGGTCAAAGAAATCATTGGCAGGGTTTGACATATGCAGCCTGGAAATAGAAAGCAAAGATAAGTTTCAGGCTTTGAACTTGGGTAATTTAGAAGATTTGTGGTTCTACTGACTAAAATAGAAAACTGTGGAAGGAAAGCTGGTCTAAAAGTCAGGGATAGATAATGAATTTGGCTTTGAGCAAGCTGAGTCGAGCAGATGGTAGAGCAACCAAGCAGAAATTGTGGTATTTCTGAAGATGCTGGGCCAGAGTGGCTTGCAGGTCAAGACAGAAAGTTCTGGGTATCACAAGCAAAGAGATTCTATTTGAAGACTTTGAAATGGGGGGGAAAGGAAAAAAAGATAGCAAGAGAAAGCTAAAAGCTTAACAGCAGCTTTGGGAGATACCACAGGGATGTGTTAAATGCTTAGAGGACTTCCAAAAAACGATCTGTAGGACATCTAAGACCTCCCATAATGCTGACTGGGGCACACCCTGGAAGGGGCCAGGCTTCCTGGAGAGAGAAGCAAAACAGGACTTCAGAGGCACAAGGGGGATTCTTCCGGCCCTGGTCAGCAGGGACCAATCCCAGTGATATGGGTGGGTTTTCATTCCAGCTGGAAGGGCAGGACTTGATTCCAAAAGGACTAAATGTTAATAAAAATACAGTCCTTCATGAAGAATATATATGGGTAGAGAATCTAATCCTACATATAGAGTAGATAAAAATGACTTCAAAAACCAGTTCTTCGGGGGGAGGGAGATTCAAAGGTGCAGGTCCGACTCTGAGGAAAGTCTCTAGTGGTATGCCACAGGGCTCTGTCCTCGGTTCCTGCATTTACTATTTTTAACTGTAAGGTGCATGAAAGCTACCTTGGCATGAAAGGGCAAAATGGCAGAAGACACAAAGCCAGGAGGGCTGGCAAGGAGAAGAATGATCCTAACACATTGGAACAATGGGCCAGTGAAACAGAAAGAGGATATATGTGAACTCCTATTTTGGGGTTCAAATACCAGGTGCACCCAGAAAGGACAGGGTAATTGGACTTGTGAAAAATGGTCAGGGACTCTAATTGACAGGACACCCAATATTAGTCAGCAGCAAATACAGCTGGTCAAAATCAAATGAACAAACATGCAAACAAAAACCCACAAAGCAAACCTTAGGGCCCATGATGAATAGAATTAAAGGGTTTTAACAAAGGAGCAGACAGTCCCCCGGGACTCTGAACTGATCAGGCAACATCTGGAGTTTTGCATTCCAGTCTCTGAATCATATTTTGAGAAAGATGTGAACCAATTAGAGCATTTCTAATCATTCCACGCATATATTTGAAGCCTGAAGGTGGATGCTAAGAATACAAAGTCCCCGCCACTGAGGATGAGGGATATGGAAACCAATTTATATGAATAATGGGGCAACTGGGAATGTTTAACCTGAGGAACAAAAGGCTCGGAGGAAGTGATGAGGGGAAAAGGGAATGATATAAGAGACTAGACTCAATATTTATAGGACTGCCAGAAGGAAGGATCAGACTAACTTTGGATGCTCCAGTGAGTGGAACTCAGACTCTTACAGGAATGAAGACTTAAGCTCTTGAAGGAAGAAATTTCCATAATTAGATCTGTCCTAAAATGGAATGGTGATGGTGGTAGGTGATGAGTTCCCTGTCACTGGAAGTAGTCAAGTAGAGGCTACATGATCACCTATCAGGAATGCTGTCGAGGGACACCAGCATGGTTCAGTTGGTTAGGCAACTGATTCTTGATTTCGGCTCAGGTCAGGATTTCAGAGTCCTGGGATGGAGCCCCATGTCCAGCCCCCATGCTCTGCGGGGAGTCTGCTGGAGATTCTCTCTTCCTCTCCTTCTCTCTCTGCCCCTCCCCTGCTCCTGCACTCTCGCTTGCACTCTCTCAAGCACCCTCTCTCTCGAATAAATAAATAAATCTTTTTTTTTAAAGAATGCTATCAAGGGATTGTCACTGGGTAAGAGTTTGAATAGTTGAATCCTAAATTCCCTTAAAACTCTAAAACCCTAAGATGCTTTCTTCAATGAGTAATGTGAGATTTCTCCGTTCTATGGATGGATGAAGGTAAGGTGTGAAATGTGGCTGAGGGTACAGCTGGGTGGAAGGCCGTAGAAGGAAAGGAGTACCACTGAGAGAAATTGGCAAAGACGTTGGGTGGTTTATAGAAAGAAGGCTCTGTGCAAACCAGAGATGGAAAGAACGCAGGGGGGAAGTTTCAGATTTGTGTCGATGTGTGTGCCTATGTGTTATTGCATAGGCTGCAAATTTTTAAAGCTCTGGATATTTCGCATATAAATCCAGGTTTCCCATTTCTCTCGGAGAGAACTGGCACACCCCTTCCCACGCAGCAGTAACAGGAAGAGCTGAACAGCAGGTCCCGTTTCGTGAAAGACGAGCTGTCCTGTGGGTTTCAATCCCCACCTCTCCCTGCTGCCCAGACCCGGCCCTCATCCCCCATCTATATTCCCCACTTGGTCCCTGAAAGCATTTGGGTTTGCAGCCACAGTTTTAAAATTTCACACGGGCTCTTTGGAGACAGAAACCGGGTTTTTCATTTGGGGATCATTAGCCTGTGCTTAGCAGATTCTCAGTAATGTTTGTTAAAGGATCCTCGGGGGGAAAAGGATGACAAATCAGAATAATGGTGACATGCCACATCCCCCTACCTGGATCTCAACTCCTGGAGAAGCCTTCCCTAGAGTTCTGTGCTTCCAGGGCCCCATGAGCGTGGCAGCCTGTGAAGCTAGGTTATCACAAATTGGCTGCCATCACTTTCATTTTAATAAATCAACATGTAACACTTGCGTTAACAGTGCCCTCAGAGCTGTTGGAACGGTGACTTCTAACATCCATTTGTCTATCACATAATTGGCCTGTTGGTAACATTTGTAATCTGATTATTTCCCCTTTGGGGTTGCCCACCTATGCTGATTAAGCTCCTTTGTCTGCAGATATGAAAATGAGCAGCCATTTCGAAAGGCAGCGGAAGAGGAAATTAACTCTCTGTATAAAGTCATTGATGAAGCTAATTTGTCAAAAATGGATCTGGAGAGTCAAATAGAACGCCTGAAAGAAGAACTCTGCTTTCTGTCAAGGAGCTACGAAGAGGTAGGTGGGGGCCGGGCCGACGCTGGCTTGGTTGCGGCCCAGAGGCCCGCGCCTGTCTGGCGGAGCCGGCCGTCGGTGAGGCTAGCTCCTGTCGGCCTGTCCCCCTCGCCTGCCCCCGCGGGGCTGCGGACCAAACACGCCCGAATCCTTGCAGTGGGTGAGTGACGGCGGGAGTCTCCAGTGCAGACGGCTCAGGCCCCGGGCTGGGACACAAGGGGAGGGGAAGGCAGGTCCACGCTGGAGAGTGAGGGGGCCCGTGTCGGGCTGGAGAGAGAGCATCCCCGACCTCAAGGCCTTGTATTCCAGGTCTTTTTTTCTTTTTTAACGCTGCACTGAACGAACAAAATAACTCTGAAGCTAGACCCGGGCTGGGGTTTGCACGCACTCGTTAAGGAAATTCCGTCAGCTCACTGAGTGACAGGACTCAACGGGACCTCCCCCCATGACTCCGCCCAGCTGCCGGCAGAGCCGCCCGACTCAACCACCTCCCACGTGGCACTGTCTGAGCGGACCTGGAACGTGCTTTCAGCCAAACAAGTCAAAACCCATTTAACTCCGCTTCCCTTGGGAAGTTCCTTCTTTCGTCCGCCCTCAGGCTGACCACGGGCACTAAGGCCGCTTCCTCCTGCTCTTAGCTCCGCCGCTTGCCGCCACTCTCCGCCACTCACCCTTCAGTGGCCTCCCAGTCTGTCCCAGCCTACTCTGACTTTACAGAATTCAGACATTTCATCTGGCTGTTGTTGCTTCCCCTGTGTTGTTTTGCGGTTTATGTATTTTGATATTTGCTTTGAGGGGGCCCGGGCTTGCGAACACCGGCCTGAGAAACGCCTCCTTCTTGCCCAAGACTGTGGCATGCGTGTGGCGAGGGGACCGGGGACTTTGCCAGTCTCTGTGAAGCCCCATGTTTGGCAGGAGCAGAACGAGAAGCACAGGGGTGCCCACAGACCCGGGCTTCTGCCGGCTGAAATTCTGTGTGCTCTCCTTGTCCCCTGGAGCTCACCTGGAGTGTATATTGTCATTCGCAGGATGTGAAAGTGCTGTACAAACAGCTGTCAGGGTCTGAGCTGGAACAAATGGGTGTACCCATCGGCACTGGTCTGGACGACATCCTTGAGACCATCAGGATCCACTGGGAGAAAGATGTCGAAAAGAACCGGGCGGAAGCAGGGGCCTTGCTCCAAGCCAAGGTGAGGCAGGACCTGCTCCCTGTGCAGAAGGAGGTCAAGCAAAGGTGAAAAGCAGTCAACATAGGAGAGAAGAAATGCAACAGTTTCGATCTCATTAGACATAAGAGAAATACAATTTAAAATAGTAACATTTTGCTTCCCTGTCTAAAGGTAACATGTTGAAAATGGTAATACTCAATGCCCACAAGTGCCTGGTGAAGTAGGTTCTCCCCTATATTACTGAGGAGTATAAGCTACTATGACATCTTTGAGCAAGGGAATTGATGATCTGTGTCGAGAATCTTGAAATGCCCCTACTTCCAGTTGAAGAATCTAGACACTGTCCTAAAGAAATAATTGAAAATATAGATAAAATTTATATCTAAATGTATTCACTGAAGCATTTATTATAAGAATGAAAAAAATTAGGCGGAAAGCACATAAATGTTTAATAATAAGAGTAAGGCTAAGCCACAACCTTTCCATGCAATGAAATACCAGGGAGCTATTAGAAATATTTACGAAGCATTTATAACAACATGGGAAATGCTCACGTAATAAGGTCAAGTGGGGGAAATAAGAGAGTACAGAAGGGTATGTACCAGGAACCAACAAACTTTTTCTGTCAAGCACCAAACAATAAATATGAGGCTTCCTGGGCCTGATAATCTATTACAACTATTCAACTCTGCCCTGGTAGTGTGAAAGACAAAAGGTAACACATAAGGGGCGGCTGGGTGGCTCAGTCGTTAAGCGTCTGCCTTCGGCTCAGGTCATGGTTCCAGGGTCCTGGGATCGAGTCCCACATCGGGCTCCCTGCTCTGCGGGAAGCCTGCTTTTCCCTCTCCCACTCCCCCTGCCTGTGTTCCCTCTCTCACTGTGTCTCTCTCGCTGTCAAATAAAAAAAAAAAAATCTTAAAAAAAAAAAAGGTAACACATAAGCATGGCTCTGTTCCAATAAAACTTTATTTATAGAAACAAAAAGTAGGCTGGATTCACCTGCAGGCTGCAGTTGGCCAACCCCTGGTAGACATAGTAGAGAGCACTCAAACAAAGAAATGAGGCATCAAGAAAAAATTAGAAAGAAAACATTAAAATGTATTGGTGTTAACAGTGGTTGTCTTTGGGGGAGGGACCTATGTGACATGTTGAGATGTTTTTTTCTTTCTTGTTTTTGAGTATAATATTTTTTCAAGTTTTTCTTAAGCAGTATGAGTTATATGCATGGAGGGAAACAACTTTTATTAAACCTGGTAAATAATAAAGGAATTAACCAGAACATAGAATGCACAGGGTTTGTTCTTCCTTTCTCCATCTCCCATCCATGTATGACTTGGGGATTCTGAGGCACCGGGCGAGAAGAACAGAAGAGGAAGGAAAGTGTAGAGAACGTATGAAAAATAAGGTAGCTTATTTTTTTGAGAGAAAGCAAGCAGGCTCTTCCTGTGCTCTGGGTTACTGTTCAGTAGGTCTCAATCCCAGCTGCACAGCAGAATTATCCCAGAGCATTTTCAAGAATGCTCATGCCCAGGCCCCATCTAAGACCAATTAAATCAGAAGAAGGAGAGGGACTTTGTGACTTTTTTTCCAACTCTCTGGATGATTCGAATATTCAGCCAGGCTTGAGAGCCACCAGAGTTTATAAAAGCTACCAAAAAACAAAAAAACCCAAGGAAGACCTTTTCTGTTCTTTGTTCTCCCATGCCCCCTCAGTGCCCTGCCCCCTCAGTATCAACAGGAACCTTCCCAGCAGGGTCTTCACCAATTCTGGATCCATCAAAAACATCTTTACTCCGCCATTTCTCCACCCCGCCCCCCATCTCCTTTCAACAGCCCCTTTTCTTTCTGACCTTAATTCCTTGAGCCAGGTCACTGCAAACTCTTTTTAGGGCAAACAGTGCCTAGTAACCTCACAACAGGCAGTCTCCCACCACCCCCCCAACCAGGTGAGAGGGGGAACAACACAAAGGGAAAGTGAAACCAAACCATAGATTTGGTTTTGGTCCCTTGCTTCTTTTTTAAGAGACTCATGAATATTCATAATTCATGACCTTAGCCACCAGAGCATCCCCTTTCTTCACGTCAGAGGTGAGGAAACAGATTGAGAGAGGGCAGCTGATGTCCTGAGGTCACATGACTGGCTGGCAGCACCCTCGTTCCGCCCTCCTGGCTCTAGGGCCAGGCACCTTTTCTCCACATTGGGTAGTCGGTCCTCTTCCGCTCTGGTTCCCAAAGCGAGAGCTCTGAGGCCCAGGAGTTTGCAACCTTGCTTTTGTCCCAACACTCCTGGGGCATACCCCACACTGCAGTGATTATTTATTTATGGAAGGGGGATGGGGCATGGTAAAGAACAGAAAGAAATCCTGCATAGTGTGAAAAAGAAAAAATCCTGGCCATTATTACTCACCCTTCACCCTCTTGAGAATCATCACCAGCCCAACGGTAATTCAAGCATTAATTCTGAGGAGATTCATTAGTGTTTTTTTTTAATAGAGTAATCTGAAAGCTACATCTCAGAGAAAACAGACAGTACTTGTTTTCATTTGGCTGATGCTACCGGGGCCTCTTGCAGAGAGGTGGAGATCAGAAAATATTTGCAGAATGAGTGAATTCCTCTGATCGTCAACAGAGATCAGAACTGACAGCCAGAAGTCCTCCAATAAATAGTTTTGTCAGTCGCTGTCATGCCCTTGGGGGCTGACATTTGCCCATCCTGAGCACCTCTTGTTGGTTTCTTGGCAGCAAAGCATAAATGTGTAATGGCTTAGCAGACACTCCTTTCAAACCTTTTGCAGAGAGCGTACAGACATGTATTTAATTACCTTTCAGCCTGGGGAGGCTGAAAATTAATTGACATGATTAATTTATGTCTTTGTTTAGGTTTCCCCAGAAACTGACCCTGTGTGAGACAAATATTAAAGAGGAAATTATTTATCTGGAAGTTGGGGGAGGAGGGGGACAAAAATACCAGTAGAGAAGAAGTAGAGAAGGGAACCAACAAAGAACTCACTAACCAACCAGCACCCACTGTGGGAGACGGGACTCTGCACCCACAGGGTTTCTGGGGAACAGTACAGAATACAAGAGAGGGGAAAGGTGAGGAAGCTGGAGTAGTAATACCATCCCCATCAGACATCTGCCGTCTGCTAGCAGAGTGACCTCTCAAAGACTTCAGAGAAAGCTCTCCAGGCAAAGGGTAGAATCTGGCAGTGGAATGGAAGGGTGGGGAGAACCACATGTTTTGGGATAAAGGTTCCTGAGGGATAGAGGTTGATGCCATCAGCATCTGTTCCCAAGTTATCTGCTAACTCCTCTTAAGTCATTAAGCTTATAAAGAGGTTCGGGCTAGGTTCTCTCCAGCCTCGGCCATGGATGTTGGGAACTTTGGTAGTCCAGCTTTTGGAGCTTCTCAAGTTCTCAACATAACTCCATGTTTGGGGGGGGGGTCAGTTTTGTCCAGAGAATTTCTGGAGGGTCTTCCAGGCCGGCCCTCCCTTGTCTGCTTGTTGTGGTTACCCAGCCCTAGGTATTTGGGGATGCTTGGGGAACCACAGACAACATGCCATCCCACCCTCCAGACCTCCTGGCTACCCACGGAATACATTCCCCTGTCTGCAACCCACAGACTCTAAATGGGCCACCTTGGGGAATATGGGAGAGCCTCTATCATTCACCTCTTTCCTAGCATTCCTATGCTGAGATGTTTCCATTCTGTAGCAGCAAGACAAGCTCTGTTTTGCGTTCTTTTTAAAAAAAATTTTTTTTTAAGATTTTATTTATTTGAAGGAGAGAGAATGAGAGACAGAGAGCATGAGAGGGAGGAGGGTCAGAGGGAGAAGCAGACTCTCCACTGAGCAGGGAGCCCGATGCGGGACTCGATCCCGGGACTCCAGGATCATGACCCGAGCCGAAGGCAGTCGCTTAACCAACTGAGCCACCCAGGCGCCCAACCATTTTCTTTTCTTTTTTTTTTTTTTTTTTTAAGATTTTATTTATTTATTTGGGAGAGAGAGAATGAGAGAGAGAGCACATGAGACGGGGGAGGGTCAGAGGGAGAAGCAGACTCCCCACTGAGCAGGGGGCCCGATGCGGGACTCGATCCAGGGACTCCAGGATCATGACCTGAGCCGAAGGCAGTCGCTTAACCGACTGAGCCACCCAGGCGCCCTCTGTTTTGCGTTCCTAACCTCCTCCCTGGGATCTTCCTCCTGGAAGCCTCACTCCTGGAAGCCTCTTCTCTGTCCCTTGTTCACCAAATTGGGAGGATGTGTACAATAACCAAAGGCTTATTCAATTACCAGCTCCAGCTGGTGTGGTAGGGTAGGAGGTGCTGACAAGAGAGAACTCAGCTTCCTTTCAATAGCCCCTAGGGGCCAGGAACCCCACAGCAAATGCACCCATGCTGTCTCTTCTGATAGTGGTCTGCACTTGCCTCAGATCAGTTCAAGGGATTCGTGGTCAGGAACTTTAAGGAAGCTGTAACCATCCTGCCTTAAACAGCCAGGTGTGGAGACAGTTGAGCATGGAGAGGTGAGCAGATGGAGATGAATCGTGAGGTTTCTGGTTATTGGTAGGCTTAGAGCTGGAAGAGACATTAGCCACTGACTAGAGCAGTGTCCTCTAGTAGCAATTTCTGTGAGGATAGGACTGTTGTGTAGTCCGCACAGCCATCCAGGATGTGAGCCACTGGCCACATGCACTGTTGCGCACTGGGAATGTGCCTGATCCAGCTGAGAAACTAAGCTTTTACTTTTATTTAACATTTATTAATCTTTATCTAAATAGCTACGTGTGGCTAGTGGCTACCATGTTGGACAACATAGGTCTAGATCTAACCATGAACAGATTAGGAACCTTAGATAACATGTCTCCATATCATCCACATTCACAAACAATAATTTCCCCTGAAAGGGCAAATATTTTATATAGGCTGCCATATCGACACCCTCTCTTTGCTTGCTTGTACAAAGAAGAGTGAATATTTTCTAGAATATATGAAATTGGATTGGAATGGGTTTCTA